CGCCATTTCAATATTATCAAGATAAGGTGTGTCTATTTGCTTAAACACATTGCGATACTATCGCCAACTGCCTACTGGCTCAAGTTGTAGCCAAATCACCCAAGGGCTGCGCAATATTATGCATCAACATTGTAAAGCAGTGTACTATAAAAGATTATTATCATTTGATACAGAGATAAATGAAAACATGGCTTAAAAGACAAGCACCCAAGCCAACAATACAATAAAAAAAAATGGATAACATACATAATAACGTGGAATGATTTGTATATGATAATTTTATTTAAATTTATTTATTTAATATTTTTTTTAATTTTAAGAGTTAAAAGTTATATTAACCATTTTTAATACACTATAAACAGAGGAGACCGAGATAATAGGAAATACTTTATACTGTATTAGCGCGCCCCGCGATTTCACCCGCGTATATCGCTTCGAGCATCTGAGGCGCGCAACATGACACCTCATTTAGGCGAGGCGCTTACTGCTGGTTTATAATGAAGTAACTTTCGTTCGTAAGCATTAATATGCCATGCCTAATAATAACTCTCATAAGTCACTTTTTAAATTTCATTATTTTTCAGTCACAAAATACCTTATTGTGACTTACTGGTATATATAAAAAATAAGCATATAGTGTCCTGACTTTTTTTTATATGAAAGAAAGTTCTATTTTGTTGTAGAACATTGTATGTATCAGCAACTATTAAGCCAGTGCACGTGGATAAAACAGTTCTTGATTGATTTTTATTCCAACTTGCTTAACAAAATTCCATATTTAAGGCTAATTAAAGTTTAACCTTATGCTAGATATCGTATACTATTTCTCATAAATCGGGCGATCATTTTTTGTTCACGCTGGTTAGCGTATTTAAACAAACAAAAACCTCTTCGGCCTTATTATATTTGTATAATTTCTATCTCATTCTCTCTCAGACTAAATCATGTAAATGTATGTTGTCTCTTTTTAGTGCCACTTTTTCGTTTCATCGCATTTAAAATTACAACAATACTAAAGAAGTTTCACTAAAAAATCGAGATCGGCGATATCTTCGCCGATCGTATACCAAATAACATAAAAAATCATGCAGTCAAGAATTATCAACTGACTCCTATTTCAATACTCAATACTCAATAACTTTATTGCATTCCATAGGTTACAAAAGGTGTTACATAGTTTTATGGTATCTCCATGGGCCCTGATGGGCACAGCAATATTATGAAGGAGGAACATTTATTATTATAATTATTGCTATTTTGAAATAATTATTTAATATTAACATTTATTCTATTATTTAAACATACACACAATGAATTTTAAATACGGTTATTTTAATTGTTATAATTTATTAATGAATTGATTTTGACATTTAAGGTATTATTATAATTGGTGTAATTAACACAGTTGAATTTTTATTAAATTATTTGAATCATTGTAAATTTTATTTGAATTTTTTATTGTAATTTATTTAGTAGGATGGCATTTCATTATTACCTAACATATTTTTATTTACATATCTATATTATATTATATTTTTATCATCTAAAAATTCAGAAGTATTATAGTAACACTTATTTATAAGCAGTTGCTTTAATTTTATTACGAATTGTTTATCGTCCTTAATGCTTTTTATATATTCGGGTAATTTATTATATATTTTTATAGACATGATGAATGGGCTGGAAGAATGAAATTTTAGTTTTGAAATGGGCAGCACTAGTTCGTTTCTCTGTCTTAGATTCCTAGACATGATGTCATCTCGTTTTGTGTAAAAACTTGGATTTTTTTTGACAAATTTGCATAGTTCCAAACTATAGATAGAGGGCAGGCTTAAAATGTTATACTTCTTGAAGTAAGGCTTACAGCTTTCTGTGTTTTGTATATTAGCTATGATTCGTATTAGTTTTTTTTGTTTAGTTAATAAACTTGGGGCATCAGTACTGCCTCCCCATAGGACAATGCCGTAGCTGAGCCTGTGCATACGCGTAGTAGGTTGTCATCGCGGTGGTTATATCTGTTGTTTTTTTTACTTCTCGTAATGCGTTCATAAAACTGCTTAACTTTCTATGTTATTTTTCTATGTGTGGTTTCCAAGTAATATGGGTATCTATTATTAGTCCTAGTAGTGTGTGCTCGTTAACAGTATCTATAGTGAAGCCGTCATTATCTAATTTTATATCTAATTTTGCTTTTTGATATGGGTGAAAAGACATTATTTTAGTTTTTGATAAGTTTATCTGCAGGTTATGTTTAGTTAGCCAGTCCGTTGTTTTGAATAATATGCTGTTAATTTTTTCTGTTAGATTTAGTGGACTTTGGCTTGATATAAGAATAGAAATACCGTCCGCGAACATGACACAGTGTTCGTTCAGGGTTTCTGCAAAGTCATTAATGTAAATTAAAAACATAAGACACCCCAGCACGCTGCCTTAAGGTATTGAGGCTTTAATAGTTTTAGTATCGGATCTAATTTTTTCAATTTTGTGTAATTTATCATTGAAATACTCTATTTCTACTATTTGCGTTCTATTGTGCAAATATGATTTTAACAAATTGTAGCACGGGCCTCTGATTCCTATGTCATATAATTTATTTACTAATATGTTATATTGCACTGTATCGTATGCTTTTGACATGTCTAGTAGTATTCCTATAGCATATTTTTTATCGTAAATTATATCACGTATTTTTTGAATGTAATTGTAAATTGCTAAAACTGTTGATTTGTTTTTACGGAAACAGTTTTGACTTTCACTAAAGATATTATATTTTTCACAGAATTTATAGATACGATCGTATAATGCTTTCTCAAATATTTTGTAAGCTGTGGGTAGTAAGGAAATAGGTCGATAGTTGTCTGGGTCCGTTTGTGTACCTTTTTTATAAATGGGTTTCACGGGTGAACTTTTTGGTATATCTGGGAATACGCCTTCTTCAAAAGATTGATTTACCAGTAATGTTAATGGATATACTAAAGCGCTTGCACACTGTTTGAACAATGTTGGAGGAATCTCATCAACACCATAGCTAAGTTTATTTTTTAGACTTTTTAATATTTTAAGTATTTCTTCAAATCCTACTCTACCAAGAAATATTGAGTTTTCTGATGGACGCAGAACAGGAAGACCATTTGCTTGTGGATGAATTGTTTCACCAATATTAGTGAAATAATCATTAAATTTATCAGCAATCTGTTTTGGGTTGCAAGAAATTTGGTTGTTGATATTCAATTTAATATTTGATTTAACCTTTACATTCACTTTGTTTGTGTGTTCTCGAACAATATGCCACATTGTTTTTATTTTATTATTAGACTGCTTTATCTTGTTTATATAGTGTAATTTTTTCGACGTTGTTATAACCTTTTTTAATATTTTTTCATATTTTTTATAATAATCTGTAAGAATTTTATCATTTGACCTTATAATGTGCGATTTGAGTAATCTATTGTTATAACAAGACTTTTTTATACCGACGGTAAGCCAATGGTTTTTATATTTGTTTTATTTTTATTACTTTTTTTGGTATACAATTATCTAGAATTTTAATCACAGTTTGATGAAATATATAATAGTTATAGTTTTTGTCTTTGTTCTTATTAAGTATGTTTTCCCAATCAAGCGATTCCAGTGCAAGTTTAAAATGTGCTATATTGTTTTTGTTATATTGTCTTTTTTCGGTGTACCATATTTTTTGTTTATTTTGTTTAGAAAGATTTAGATGGTTATAGTAGCCCTATGGTCAGACAGACCCAATTCTTGCACAGTTGTTTGTATGTTTGCATCGTTAAAGTTTAAATAAATTAAATCTAAGCATGTTGAAGTTGTTTTAGTGACACGTGTAGGACTGTGGATTTGTTGGTGAAAGTTAAATTGGAGCATTAGGTCTGAAAGCTTATTTCCTTTATTTCTTGTTATTGTGTCGTTTTTTATATTTTTTTGTAGCATGTCAATATTAAAATCTCCCCCAGTATGATTTTATGTTTAGAAAATTTCTTATTTATGTAATCCAGAATAGTTTTTATTTTTTCGTAAAATAAATCTTCCTTCTTCCCATTATAATACAATGTTAACAATATAGTATTATATTTTATAAGCTCTACTGCACAAATTTCCACTACATATTCAATGGACATATTGGAAATTTCTTTTAATTCTAAATATTCTATGTCGTTTTTCAGTAGGATGCAGACGCCGCCTCCGGTGCGCGATGTTCTACAATACGATGCGGCTACTTGATAATCGGTTAAATGTATCAGTTCAAGTTTTTCCGTAGATAGCCATGTTTCAGTAAAGCATAATATCTGGTAATCGGGATTACTTTGTACAAATTATTCTAATATATCTATTTTATTGTAGATGCTCTGAATGTTCTGGATGAGTATTTTGTCTTGTAAGTCCTTGGTTTCGAAAAAAGGATTTATTGATACTTTTGTCATGTGTATCTTCGTTATCTATATCTTTGTTATTTGTTGTATTTGTATTCCATAGTACCTTTTTTCCTTCTACGTATAGGTTATCATCTTTTATCACAGCATTTAATCCCTTTTGTCTCGCTTTAAACATTTCTTCTCTTAGTAATTTGTTGTGTTTTTGTGTAATATCATCATAGTACTTAGATATGGCTAATCCAGATTTTTTGAATAAATGTTTATGATCGATTAGGTATTTTGTCATCTTTTTACTTATCAATTCAATAACAAGGGGTCTAGTATTATTCCTGTGTTTACCTAGTCTGTATGTGTCTTCAATATAACCGGTGAGATCCACATTCATAATGTCTCTGAATATGTTTACAATTCTGTTGCATAAGCTGAAATCATTTTCATTGTGTTGTTCCATTAGTTTATAAAGTACTTTTTTTTGAGTTTATTTCAGGTATTCTAAATTTGTTCTCAATCTTTTTACTTAGTTGTTTCATGTCTCCTCTTAGTTTTTCATTTTCTTTTGTAATTGACTCTATTTTTAAGTTCAGTTGGCAAATCTCATCTTTTCTTTGTTTATTTTGACAATTTAGAATTTCTGTTTTTTGCTGAATATCTTATTTCATGATATAATGGCTTTTTAATTTCTGAGTGAATTGTACTTTGCAGCTCATTTATTAGTGATCTATTATTTTCTTCACTTAGAGTTTGCAGTAAAATTTCATTAGATTTTGCATTTGGGTTTGGGGAGGTCTGAGTAATAACAGTATCACCTAATAGCTCAATATCCACCGAATCACTAGTGTCATTGTGCATATTATTTGGGGATCTTCTTAATGTAATGTTGTCTCTATCAATTTGGGAGATATTTACTACGGGAGATTTTTCGCGAGGGCGTATTGGCGTGTTTGTCTTGTTTTTCTTAGGTTGCTCACAATAGCAAGCTTGACATTTCCATGCGGCCTTTGTTTCTGCCGACATTATGTTATAGAAGCGTTGTGGGGTTACATTTGCGCAATCTAAATCGTATGTTTTTTTGCAGTATTTACAGGTTAGATGTTCCCGTTCATGAAGTATTTCACTACAACCAGCACAGTTAGTCGACATTATTGCAAAGTATTTCTTCCTAAATAATTATTTTGCCACCCTCTTGTGGTGTGCGTCGGAGATGGGAAGTAATTTGCGGTTTTTGGTGTCCTGCTTTTTATTCGATGTATAATGTTGAGTTTCTGGTTAATCTAGTAGATGGCGCAATAGGATACAAATGTTCGTTCGTAACAGTGTGCGCTTTTACCGATCTCTAACTTTCAACCAAAATAGTAATCGATTGTCAACTTGTCACATTTGGTTTTTGGTGTTATGTGGTTCATGCACGTTTCAATATATGGCGTTAGTAGTTTTAACCCGGTCTATTGGGAACTTAGCGCTAAGAGTTCAAAGTCCAATTTATTAGAACTTGTATAGCGGTTGAGAAGATAACTGGATTTGAAAATGTTCACATAAAAGTATAAAAGTTTCACAATTATTATAGCACAGTTTTATTTTTTCACTTATTACTTTGTTGATTAATGAAGTTTTGTAATGTTTGTTTAATAGTTTTAGAGTTCGGATTACAAATAATTGCACTGGGTATTTTACCGTATTTAGTTCACTTTACATTAAGATAACACTATAAGTTGGATAAAAACACTTGAATTTTATGACAATCATATTTCAATGTTGAAATGTTTGGGTTTACTATTTTTAAAGTTATCATGGAGCTCAATGTTTTCGTGACGCGCGCGCCAAACTGCTGTCGATCAAATATTTTGATGTCGGCTAATAAAAATAACGTAATTTATTGCCATTAGGATTTTTGCTTTTGACTCATTTGTATTGCTTACTGATGTATTTATTATACAAGCAATCGCTCACTATTATTGTTCGTGCATCATAGGAAAGCGAACAATTGGATGCTGCTCCCATATTATATGCATTATATGGCACATGAGCCATGCACGACATTTGCCAGCAATAACCCCTCCAGCTTATGGATTGGAGAACATTATTGTTATACCAGACGATGATGATTTTATAGTGTTTAATTAAACAAAATAACCCCTGTATACATATTTTACTTATAATCCTCAAAAACACAAAACAAGATCAACATGTCCAAAATAGGTCAAGAACCAATATATTTTACTAAACGATGTTCAAAATAAAAATATGGTAGAACAAATCATTTGTTTTTGTTTATTAAATGCACTGAAAATGTATGAAGATGTTGAATTTTTGAACTCCAATAAAACCAAGGACAATGACCCTACAGCTTTGGTGTCATAATAATAAATACTCAGGAGGACAAGTTCTAACGGAATACAGCATATTTTTTATTGGCCGGCACTTTCACATTTGGACCAAAGAAGATAATGTCCTTTATTTGTTATATCTTTGTATATATATATATATATATATATATATATATATATATATATATATATATATATAAACTGTACATTAATCTTATCATTGTATTATATTTATAAAACGTAATTGTATTTATTATTTAAACGAGTCAAAGTCACGTAAAGAAAATCTTATTGGACGAATTGAATTCACAGATTCGTTTAAATTAAAGCGAGGATTCCGGTGTACATTGATTGATGTATCTGACTGAAGCAAAAATATTTAATTTGATACCTTATACGTTTTTTAATTTCTATTCCTTGTTTTATGTTTATATAAGGTTTGTTATATTAATTTCAACTCTATTAATAATAAAGGATGGTATATTACACCAAATCTTAATGAAAGGTGAATGAATAATATGAAAAAAAAAAAACATTGTAAACTTAAAGGTTTTTTTATAGGATAAGGGTGACGAATGAGCACACAGTCCACCTAATGTTAAGTGGTTGCTGTGGCCCATAGACATTTATATTTATTCTCGATTACGAATTAAAATGCAGATGCGGTGTCACCCGTGAGGACTAAGATAGAATGCCTCGTTTCCAGTAAAAAGGTTGTTTAGACTCACCATACGAAACACAGCAGCATTAAGCTGCTATTTTACATGGGTATTCTGTGAGAGCGTGGTCCTTCCCCTGGTGAGCCAACCCATTCGTGGTACAACTATACTAGAAATATAGCAGCAGGAAGCTCCACCACGTATAAAACCTAAAGGTTTCAATATAATTTTTTAAATTTTTAGATGTGCAGATTTAAGACTGTAATAATATATTATGTTTACTCCGTTTTTCATGTTTAATCGAGGTACTTACAGATTAAGCTTACTAGTTTATTAACCATGGACTACAATTAACTGCAACAAATTAATTATTTATGTGGAAAACTTGTGCCGTGTGGTAGCGGTTTAAGAATACGAGTATTCACTACCCCATATCGTTCCGTGAGTGTCATAAAAGGCGACAGAGTTAAATTGAAACAGGTGATGGGCAGTAGAATCCTCCTGATAGTAACTCAAATGAAAATAATACAAACTGTGGTTGACAACCCGTTCACTAAACGTGTCAACTACGGCAAAAGCCATAATATTATAGCTTACTCCGTTCTTCCAGTGCCATCGTGGTGCTTAACGATTAGGCTTACTAGTTTAGTAAATCAAATATTTCATGTCTTAAGCGCATTAAAGAAATACTTATAACATGATTATAAACGAACGAAATTTTAACGTAATTTAACTACATAAAAGTTTTAACTAAAATTTTTAATTTATTACTTTACTTCCAATTTTCCGATAATTTTATGTCAAATTAGAATTTAAAAAAAACCTTGCAAAATTCAAAAGTGCACGATCCATAAGAACGTGAAAAAATTGTAAATTGTAGTTCTACACGTCTAATAGTTCCAGTAGCAGTCACCGAAGTATATATGGGCGCAAATCGCCATCTATCGGCAATAATTAGCAAATATTGATATATGGGCGCAAACCGCCATCTATCGGCAATAATTGGCAAATATTGATATTTATGTTTTAGTTTATCGTTTAAGTGAATATATTAGTATTGATATATCTCAAATATAAAAGATTTAAATTTAAATACTTATTTATATGGTCTGATATTTAGTAGACACTGTTTTGACTGTTTGAACTATTTGAGGACGTTTGATGCTTCATTTATTGTTAAAATACTCATTTTACTGTGTAAATGTTCAGATTAATATCTATTAGAATTAATATCATTATTTTGTATCAAATTTTATTATTTTATGTAATAAGTCTTGTTTAATTTCACTTGAATCTTGCTTGCAGCGTCAACTCTTAACAGTATTAGAGCCCGGATTTTGACTGACTATCAAAAACTAATGTCTATTGAAATTAAATGAACAAAGATTTATATAATATAAATCATTTGTAGTTATTTAAATTCATTAAAATATTTATTATAAATAATGAGCTCTATTTTGAGAATTACTTTGTAGTACTTAATTTTATTTGTTTGATTTAAAATAAGTTGTATTTGCTATATCCATGTTTGTAAGGAAACTATTGGAAACTGTAAAGGCGGTTGATTTATGTAAAAACTGTTCTGTTCTATACCAGCAATTGTGCAATAATAAACTACTTAATATTTGGCGTGCTATTTCATTGTGATGGGACTCTAAGCGTGAAAACCTTGGCATATCGCCGACAGCAGCGGTGGGATCACAGCCCCAAGACTCTTCAGGGCTTCCAGATGGGACGACCTTCGCTATAGAACAAGTGATGGGTCTCCTAACCTCCATAACGAAAACTGCCGCGACGAGCGCTGCGAAAACGATGTTATCTACGGAGACTGCACGTTTACGGCGGCACCATAACTTTTATCTACCGCCGTTCAACCCTGATGAGAGATCACATGACATCAGGGACTGGTGTGCTAACGTGGACGAAACCATTACGAAATTGAATATTTCGTCCCATGAAGCTCGAATGAAGACCATCCTGCAATTGAGAGGACTAGCAAAGACATACGCTGACACCTGGTCACTGCATTCAAACACGTGGGAACAAGTAATGGAAGAGCCGACACATGTTCGGCAACCAGTTCCGGTACGCGGACGACTTGCAGAAATGACGCAGCAACACTGAATATGCTACAACGGCTTGGACGCTCTTCAGGAGGGTTCGACCAGAAGCTGCCGATGCCGAGGTAGTGGAAGCACTGATCACAGGTATTTATCCTGAATTTATTCGTTCTGAGATGTTGAAAAATACCCCCAATTCACTTCCAAAATTAGTATCGGTTCTAAAAAACATTCTGAAAACGTAAAATTTAAAATAGTGTAAATATAATGATGTTAGAACACCACGTGTTACGGGACCTTTAAAGGAACAAGTATGCTTTAGTTGCAATAAGCCGGGTCATTTCTCGCGAGACTGCAAAAATCCCTCTAAAAATAACTATGCTTTGTCACAATCAAATAATAATTTCAGTTCCTGTGGCAGTTCTTGTAACGCTAAGGTTATTGAGTGCGAATACTGTCTTCGTAAGGGCTACGTAGAGAAAAATTGTTACCGCTGTCGAAGTGACGAGCGTAGTGCCTCAAATAAAACTATTAACTTTTGTTAATCTATTAAACGTAGCACTTTTAATTATAACTGCCTTTTTGACACTGGAGCTGACTGTTCACTACTTCGAAAGAAAATATCTGGCTCCGTTGCCCGAAAACGTTAACTAGTTGATGTGAAGTTTCTCGGTATTGGGGGTCAAACAGTTATTTCAAAACAAAGCATTACAACTGTGGTTGGGATTGATAAGCTGGTTGTATCTGAATCTGTGCAGTGGGGTTTGGTGAATTTGAGTTTTGTTTTGGCTAGCTTGACTCTGGTTGAATTTTCTCTAAATATTTTTAAATGTTCTTTTCTCGAAACTGAGGCTGAATACCTTTGTAACAATCGTGGGGATGGCACTGTTGGGCCAGGGCCGGGAATAATTTGGGCTCTTACTGGCTCATTCAGTGTCTAAAACATAAAGAAAGTAAGGCGGTTTAAAGGCTTGACAGGCTATTTTCTAAAATTTTGCCCAGTTTCTCTGGAATATTTGCTCTTTTTTTTTATAGGATGGGATGACAAACGAGCACACAGTCCACCTGATGGTAAGTGGTTTCTGTGACCCATAGAC